TATAATTCTTAGAGTACAGAGCAGGCACCAGAGGACCACATAAAAATGTTTGCCTCAATTTCCCTGCAAAAAAGGAGTCCAGAAACCAGACTTGACCAAGTAACAGATTTTTAAAGGTAAAGGAACCCAATAAAATTACCAGCTTTTCACAGCGTGTGTCTACTTCCTTTTGGCATATTGTGAGGTGTAGGTGAAATATTCTTGCTGAACTGACAGTGTGAGTGGGAATAACTAAGGAGAGAGGGAGATAAAAGTAAAAACCACCAGCAATGATTGATATTGCAGTAGCAATGAGTTGTTGGGGTCTCCCCTTTGTGGATTTGACACTTCACCTTTCTGACACCAGCTGCAGGAGTGTTGCTATAATGAGCCCTATACAGATGGGAACAAAAGCTAGAATTGCTTGGAATTACTGTATCAGGGCTGTGAGGCGTGCTGTAGAATTATGTAGGCTGGTATTTGCTTATTCAACTTATAAGATAAAAGGTGTATATGAGTGTGTGAGTGTATGATTCTGTGTGTGAAAGAGAGGCAGATGGACAGAGCAAGAGAAACAGAGTGTGTTTTTAAGGTATAAAATGGAGGGAGCTACCTGATCGTAGGTAACTCCAAAAATATTTTAATCAATGATCGATTTCTTTCTACATTGTAATCATCAGTTAACTAGTTAATGGGTTCATGGAATGCTAACAAGTTTGATGGTAAATGCCTTCAGGCATCAATTCTCTGATACGCTGCCCCAGTACCTGATAATTCTATCAGTGCCTTATGTAGAAATGTACACTGTTTCTGGTGAATAGGGGCAGAATTATGCACATGCAAGAAACCTCTCCTAGGACAACTAGGACTAAGGTTTTTTTTTCTCTCCTTGACTTTTTAGACCTTTGGGCAATAACCTAACCTCCTTTAACCACTTTGTAGGATAGAAATAATATAAATAATTTCATTTCCTTAAGCTCATGTGCTCAGCCAGGTGATCTCTTTATAGTACTGCTACTACTTTTGAATTTTATTCTACTTTTATTTTTAAGATCCTCACCTGGAAGAGGAGAAACCACAGTGGGATACTTGGCGCTGACCCTAAATTAATCTGTCATCTGCAACTTTCTTCACCAGTCATTTCCTCTCTCCCATTCCTTCCCCAGGTCCTGGAGGGAAGACCAGCGAGCATGTCCAGCTCTTAGACTCGGCTGCCTTTTTCTGTGGGTGGCCCAAAGGTCTTCCCCCAAGTCTGAGCATAAAGCCTCCGAGCAGTTTACACTCCATTTTCCCCAGTCCCAGAGCTGAGTGGGGTGCCCAGAGTGACATAATGATACCACTGTGTATGTTCTCTAGTGTCTTTCTCCTCTGTTCTTGTTCTTTCTGTCCACAGTACTCAGGTTTTTGCTACCTTTGCCCACTGAAAGAGGGTCTAAAGCAGTCATTCTAAACTTTAATGTTTCCTATGTAATATAATGCTATCCAACTTACTTCCCCACTCACAACTGCTCAATGCTTCCATGCAGTGCACTGAATGCATTGCAGGCTCTTCATTATGGCATTCAGAATCCCACAGGATCTTGCTCCAAACCATGGTGGAGTCTTATCTCCTTAGTGCACTTAATTGATGCATCCTTTAAGCCAGTTGATGCTTCTCTTGTCGAATGGCAAGAACTACCTGCCCATTTGCCTGCATGTTCCATCATCCTGTCTGCATCTTCTTTTTCCACTTGGAATGTCTCTCACATCCTTTCAGTTGGTGTTCACTGGCACTTGTAAATTTACAAATTGTCATTGCTTGGGGTGAATTTGGCTTAATTAATTGTAGTTAATAAATGGGTTTTTCAGGTGTCTGCCTGAAGCAATATAACAATTGAAATATTACTGGTAACCTTTATTCCTAAGGTGATACTGCTATTTTAAAAGTTTTTGAAAGTAAAGAATATGGGAAAAGATTGTTTTTCTTTAAAAAATGAGAAAATATTTTTTGATATGAAATATTCAGGCAAACAATGCACTTATACTAGGTAGGAGCATGATTCTGCAACTCTTCTGTACTAAGCCTTGATTTTTTTTTAACAAGAACAAATGCAGGTGGGTGGGCAAACAACTTTAACTCAGAAACATGGCCATGCTGTTTCATCTGTCAGAATCCACTGAAAAGTGCTTTGTTTTCTTTTTCAAGATCCCATGCTCTCTTTATGAAGAAACTTTGACCCCTAACAGAAGTAGTCACTCTTTGGGATTTCTGTAGCATTTACCCCATCCACCAGTGTTTAGTTTATTCTTGTTGCACCCCAGGTACTACACTGGGAACTGGTTTATCAAGGTGTGTCGAACGATCCCTGACTACAGGGGCTTACCCTCTGGTGGGAGAGGGAAACTGTTATGCAATCGACCATAATACAGGTTCTTAAAATAAAGTACAATGCCTCAGAAGAGGAAAAGAGTGAGAGCTTAATGATCCCAAGATCAAGGAGGTCCTTCCAGAGAAGGGAACCTTTCATCGGGGCCTCAGAGGATGAGGTATGGGAAGGGAGGAAGCCGTGCACGTTCAGGAATGGCCCAGTCTGGCTGGAGCGCAGCGCACACGGGAGAAATGGGAGTGGTGGGAGATGAGACTAGAAGTGTAGCTTGGAGCCAGGAAGAGGACGGGCTTAAAAATCAGGTCAGAGAGTTTGGACCTTACTCAGTATTTAAAGGAAAGACATTTAAAGATCAAAGTAAAATTTTGAGACCTATGTTTTCAAAAAATAACTTTGGCAGTACGATCAAGTGTGGATTGGCAAAAAAGATGAAAATTACACATAAAGATTAGGTTAACTTTCTGGATGGATCCAAAGGTATCTTCTCTTTCCCTCAGCCACTTGTTACATTATTTTGTGAGTGGTTATTTGTGCATATACCTTTGCTATTAGTAATGCTCCCTAAAGTTGAGCCTCCTGTCTTAAACACTCAAGAATTCTGGAAAGTTACATCTATCGCACGAAACTACTCAGTAGTTGCAGTCCTCTTTCCAGATCTTAGAGCATATAAGGCATTAACAAACGTTAAAACACATTAACAATATGTTTTTTTGTGATTTAATATCACAATAGTCACAGTTCCTAGATACCATTTTGAGTTTACACCATGTTCTAGGTGCTATGCCAAGCATACTCATTCCTTCTCTTGATTTTTATTTATTTTTATTATTTTTCAAGTACATTCCTTCTCTTAATATTTTCTGTGAGTGGTATTACACCTGTTCCATGGATATGCCGAAGCTCAGACATATACTTGCCAGAATCACAAAGTGATCTGGTTTTAAAAACCAGAGATTTCCTCTCCAGGAAAAGAAGTGTGCAGATCATTCTCTTTCTCATTAGTTAAAGTTACTCAATCATCCCTAAGTTTACAGTTCATATATGGTACCAAGGCTGTATGATTAGAGGTGAACATTTCTGATAAATTTTAGAATTTTACCTTTTCTCATTGTATTCCTGATGACTGATTTTTGTAGGAAAATATTGGAATTTACATAAAATATACATTATTCCTGGCCAGTTTCTATTTTTTTTAAGCAACAGATATGCTGAAGTGCCTCTTCTACCTAATAAATCAGTGAGTTCATATTATCTCCATGTACAAAGTAACAGTTGTGGGAGGGTAAAGTCCTTCATTTGCTTCCCTCAAACTGCATATTTCTTTTGTGGCTTCAGATAGGCCTTTTTGGAAATGTAATTTTTCTTTGTCTTGCTGGAATCTGAGACGACTGACTTTGTCACTTGCACGTTGACCTCCTCTTTTCTCACTGCCCCATGTATGTAGGAATAACTTGCTGATTAACTTCTAAGGTGGAGAATGTGGCCTGTAAAGGAATTTTAAGTACATTTCTCAGTGTTCTGTGAAGTTACACGATCTTAGCTGAGTTAATTACCTTTGTTGAAATTGTGTAAAGGGGTTCATATGATTCAAAATGCCGAAGAAGCAGAACAATTTGAAAGCAACCTGCCCTTCACCTTGATCCCTACCTTCTCTGAAACCATGGTGTAATGCCAATGAGCAGAATAATGGTTGACGAGCAGAATTTTAAGGCATTCTAAATATCTCTGGTTGGTTTAATAAAATTAATTAGCCTGCCACGGAGAAAATTTACTAGCGTGCTGGTTAATTTCACAATGTAAAGTCAGAGAAGGGAGGTGGGGTTGCGGGAACAAACCTTATTAGTTTTGAATAATTATTTAAAGATGTGGAGCAGCCTATTTCAAACACTTTGATTGCCAAATCCATTAAGGCTTTAAATTCATTGTTTGCATCCTGGTGTATATGGGAAGGAATCTCTCTACATGAAATCATCAGCATATTAGTTAACAGCTTAAGCGACTTATTTAAGATACAGAACAACAAGTAGAACCCTAAAAAACCCATGTGAATGAGAGTTTGCCTTAAGACTGATTCTTGGGAGGTTTCCATAATCTTAATTTGCCATTGATGCACTTATTGCTTTTTCTTGTCTTTTTAATCCAAACAAGCTGTTTGCAGTGGCCATGGAAAAGTGCCTGAAATCATGTGCCTGAATTCATTTAATTTGCCAACATTGTCTTTTTTTCTCTCTTTCTTCTTGGTAATGGGCAAGAGTCAGTTCTGTTGCATTAGGTACTAAATCTCTTCAATTACCAGCAGGGAAGAAAGATTTAAAATTGTGCTTCAAACCCACAAACTGATTTAGTTTTAAACCACATACACTTGTCCTGTGGAGCCTAAATTAAACTGCAGAAGGGATGCAGAGCTTGAGGAATTAAACCTGAGCCCAGGCGAGGCCAAGGCTCAGGCCGGCAATAGCAACCAACCGTTTTGGTTTCTTTTATTGGAGTCCCTTGTGCAAAAGGAGAGGGATAGGAACATGCTAACAGATATAGCTTCTATTAGAAAGTGTAGTATTATATTGCTTGGAAGCCAGACATGAAATAAATATTAGTATGGGGGAGTCTGATCAAACCTATTATTCTTTTTTCTCTCTCTTTTTGGGTGTTTGGCAGCCATTTTCAATGTGGACGACTCCGTGGTTGATCTTGAGACCCTGGCAGCCTTATATGAAAATGTGAGTATCAAAGACATACAGAGCTAGAGTCCATATTTCCATGTCTTTTTAACAACAAAAAAATGTTAAGGTGTAGCCCTGGCCAGCTGGCTTAGTTAGTTGGAGAACCATCCTGGCACCAAAAGGTTGCAGGGTTTGTTTCTCAGTCAGGGCATGTACCTGGGTTGCAGATTCAATCCCCAGTTGGCCAGGCCAGTCAATGTTTCTCTCTCATATCAATGCATGTCTTTCTCTCCCTCACCTCCACTTTTTCTCTCTCTCTCTCCTCCCCCACCTTATTCTCTCTTTAAAGTCAACAAACATATCCTTGGGTGAGGATCAAAAAAATGTTAGTCTAAGAAAAGTCATACATGACTCCTTCCTCCAGAAAAATTGCTGATCCATTCATTCATGCTCTTTGGCAATTAAGGTTTAGATATAGCATGGATGAGATTAAGGCAGAGAAATGCAAGCTCAGATAAGAGCAGACAGAAGAAAAACATTAACTTCCTCACCTCCATTCTGGTGTCTGAGTTAGTGGATCTCTTTGCACACCTACAAGGGAAAGTGGTTCAAGGTAGAGGCCACTCGTTTGCCACAGAACTCAGCCATATAGCTTACTGTCAGAATTAAGGAAGGTAAGCTACCGACTTAATGTTGGTGTGTACCAGTGCTTTCCTCTGAGGAATGGAAATGCTAATACCAACTTGGATGACTACTCTTAGTTCAAATGAGCTGGTGGTATTGAACGTGGGCAGTAGTATAGGATGGTGGGCGAGTGTTTTGGATTTAGTGTCAGACAGGTCCAGCTCTGTCACTGGCTGCTGAGTGACTGGGCCAGTTAAACTCCTTAAGCCTGCCTGACTAGCAATACAGTATGAATTATAATGGTCTCTACCTGGTTTCTCAGGAGTATTAAAAGAATTCCATATCTGTGGCAGTAACAAGGTATTTTGAAAATAGCACTGTACACGCATATGGTTTTTTAATTTGGGTTATATGTGGAAATAACGGGTATGACTGAAGGCTCTCTTGAGAAGATGGCACAGGAGAGTTAGAATTCCCATAGTTGTTCACTGTTCTTGTTCACGGACTCTGTAGTATTTGAAAATACACTGAACCAGATTCTCTTTACTGAAATAATGGTATTTCCCAGGAAGCTTCCTGGACTGCTGTAATATGCATAGTCTCTGAGCTAAAAAAATGATTAATGTCAATACTTATGTACCCTAGGACCTCAGTTTCTTATAGAATATTGTCATAATGCAGTAATCCAGCCTCATAGCATTGACAGTTCCCTACACATTTTCATATCTTTGACACGTATCAGGAGCTCTTTAGTACTAACATTGCGTGGGAACTTCTCGTATTTCTATCAGTAAGGCTTTCATTACTAGACAAGAAGGCACACAAATACCAAGCCATCAGGAGCTGACGGTGCATTTGTTTAGTACCTGGAGGGCAGCGTGGTATCATGGGAGAAAGATTCTGAGTTAGGCCCTTTCTCAGGTACTTAGTGTAAATCCTGGTGGAATAATCTGTAAAATGAAAATATAGTAATCGATGTTGAAGGACTTTGGTAACATGCATAATGCCTTCTGGATGCTTTTCGTTGTTCCCATGGACCTAGGACTTTGTGTACTGTCAATACTTATTAGCTCACAGTAGAGGTAAGGTGTATGTGATGGAATGCTAAAATAAGTCATACAGATAGGGAATGCTTACAAAATTTAGAAAAAAGTGAAGAGGGAGACTAGTAATAAAAAAGTCATCAGCCTGCATATGTTAGGAGGGCTGTTGAGGGTCAAGAAGCAAGGACAATTGGCACCATACCTTTTTACAGGCAAACAGAGAGAGGTTTCAGAGGTAGCAACCCAGTGGCCTGGCATCTGTATACAGCTAATATCACTTGTTATGACCATTTGTATTAGCCAGGGATTCTCCAACACTAGCATGCACCAGAATCACTTGGAAGGCGTGTTGGGCCACACCTTTGGAGTTTGTTAAGTCTGGGGTAGGGCCACAATTTTGCATTTCTAACTAGTGGCAGGTGATACTGATGCTGCTGGTTCAGAGACCACATGTTGACACATGTTGCTTTAGACCCACAATTTCAAGTGGTGCACCATGGCACACCGACGTGCCACGAGAATTTTAAAACAGGCAATAGCTGACTATTGAGTCAGGGGTACTGGCCTCTTTTCCCTTAGCTTGTCAAATAAAACTATGACAACAGCCAACACAACAATAACCATCTGGTGTGAGTAAATCAAAGTTGTACCTATTTTTGTCAGATCAGCAAAAAAATATTTTGGGGGTGTGCCACAGAATTTTAGTAATTAGTTTTCATGTGCCATGAGATGAAAAAGGTTGAAAATCGCTGCTTGTAGACAGATTCTCACTGCTCATTTGTGTGTGTGTGTGTTTTGTTTTGCTTCTTTTTGAACACAGAGAGCCCAAGAGGATGAATTGGTTAAAATAAGAAAGTATTATGAGACATCCAAAGAAGAAGAATTGAAGCTGCTGGATAAACCTGAGCAGTAAGGATGCTTGAACACTTTTCTGTTGGGCCAAAAGTGCAGGCTCTATCTTCCTGCATCCCAGCTCTGAATAATCACCTCTGCATTGTGCAGTGAGCTAAGTCTCAGCTCCATCACTCCTGTGACCTATTGCATGTAGCAGAATGACCTGACTGCTGGGAAAAGCAGCCACGAGTTTTGCGCTGCTGGAGAGACTATTTCTCAACCCCTTTCCCCATTCCTCGTGACTCCCCTTCCTTGTTCTAGCAACTTATTAATTCCTCCTAGACTAAACATTCTGGCCAAAAGGGTAACTGAGGAAGGAGTAAGTCATTGCTCTGTTTAAGGTTCTGCAGATGCAGTTAAAAAGATGTCAGAGCACAGCATTGAAATAGATTTTCCTAAGTGTCCTAAGTGTTCAGATCCAGTAAATGTAGCCTGACTGTGCCAGCTTTTCCCCAAGTTTCTCCACCTGCTCTGCCCAATTCAGATGTGACTTTTTCATCTTTTCTTGGCATGTGCTCTTCTCTCCATTCACTATCTAGAGTTGTTTGTTTTATAGGTTGCAGTGTCATGTCACACCCTTTGAAAACCCAGAACTCTCATGTGTAACTGAGTGACTCCTTGTTCTTGGCTGGGCCCTCAGGGTCTGCAAACCATACATTAGCTTCTGTGGCTCTTCAGCCTGCCAGCCCCACCCAGGGCCCTGTGAGAATGTGGAATGGGCTCCAGAGTAGACAGAGGTCCCCTTTGCCCGTTGCTGCCTTGAGTGCTTTGTGCCCAATTCATACCACTCTTCTCAGCCTGGAGATTAGGCAAGAATAGGAGACAAAGAGAAAATTAAGTGATCAAGTTTAGGGTAAAAATTCAGCCCTAAAGACATTCAAGGTTCTGTGGTTTGTATAGAAACCTTTCTGCCTCGCACTGGAGTCCTCTAGAATGCTCTCCCCTTGGACGCCTGGTCATTCCAGTCCAGAAAAACATCTCTAAATGGCCGAGTGGGGGATTTCTAGGTTAGTCAGTTATTGATAAACCTTAATGATAATTTTGGGAAGCTTATTTTTACATGTAGCATAGGTCAGGAACCCTCTGCCCCACGGATAGTTCATGAAGCGTAGGAGGGTTGTGAACTAGCGCAAGTGCAGTTCCTCTGCCCTTCTGCTCCAGTGGCTTGAGGCCTCCTCCTTACCAACCCCCACCCCGATGGATTCTGTGGTTCAACTCAAAATCACGTCTCCTTAGTGCAGTAAATGAATCCCCACTAATAATCGAATCACTAAAAATTAAGTAACTAATAATGGAATATTTAGACACTGATAAGTACATGGGGAATATTTGAAGACTGTCCTGGGCTGCTATAACAACATGCCCTAAACTGGTTGACTGATAAACAGCAGGAGTTTATCACTCAGAGTTCTAGAGGCTGGAAGTCTGAGATCAGGGTGCCAGGATGGTCAGGTTCTGGTGAGAGCTTTCTTCCAGGTTGCAGACTGCTGACTTCTCTTTGTACCCTCACATGACCAAAAGCAAAGAGAGGAAGCAAGCCCTTGTGTCTCTTCTCCTAAGGGCACTCATCCCACTCATGAGGGTCCCACCCTCCTGACCTAATTACCTCTCATAGGCCCTACCTCCTAATATAATCACATAAGGGTTAGGATTTCAACATATGGATTGGGGACAGGAGCACAGTTCGTCCTTAACAGGGACAATAGGACATATCAAGCCTTTAGGTAGTGCCAACTGTGCCATGTTGAGCAATGATACTCTAAGCCTAGAGTTAGCAGACTTTTCCTGTAGAGGACCGGGCAGTAAGTATCTTGGGCTTTATGGGCCATCCGGTCTGTTCAGACTACTCAAGTCTGCTGGTGAAGTGCAAAACAACCACAGTCAACACATAAACAAATGGGTATGGCTATGGCCCAATAAAATTTTACTTATGGACATGTAATGAAATGTTAACCTACTGATTTTTTTCCAACTATTTAAAAAATGTTAAACCATTTAATAAGGCTCAGTTGGTTAGAGCATTGTCCCAATACACCAATACTATGGGTTCGATCTCCAGCGGGGCACATCCAGGAATCAACCAGTGAATGTACAAACAAGTGGAACAACAGATCACTCTCTCAAAAATCAGTAATTTTAAAAAACTGAAAAAAAATGTTAAGACCATTCTTAGTTGGTGGACCAAATTTGGACTGTGGGCCACAGTGTGCAACCCTCCCCCTCTAAGATAAGGGAATGGAGGCCCCAGTGGAATTGAACCGTGGGTTTCTGCTTCTGGAAGTGTTCTTTTCCTTTTGTGTTAGTGCCTTTCCAACATTCTTTTCTTAAGGTTGGTTGCCAGGACACAGAGTAATGGTAGCAGGTAATTAGCAAATAACTTACTGTTCCGTCAGTAGCTTTCTCTACTGATGATGTAGATAGAAGTGCAGTTTTAAAGTTTGTAAATAGTCATTGCAACAGCTTCCTGAACAAGCTAAGTTGCACTGATCACGGAGGCCTGCTGTGCTGTCCCGGTGAGGGGATGTGCCTGGGCGCAGTTGCTGGAGGGTGATGTGCAGAGAGGTCGGGACTTCAGGCCTGAGTGCACTTCACCTTTGCTTTCGATCCCCTGCACAGTACAGCACTTGTTTAATTATGCCAGAGCCTGATTTTCTGACAGTTTATTTGCCATTAGCTCCAAGTTAGATGACTATATGCATGTTTTACACACTGGAAAATACAAATCATTTATAGTTGCAGCATTACAATTTCCTAAAAGTGCTGTGGTGCCCAGTCCTATAAATCATAGCATGGAGGAGCCGGCCTCATCACTCACCTCATCAGCTTCCTTGCACCCCAGTGCCAGGTTTAGAAAGCCATTTCCCAAAAAGGTGTCATCTGCCTGGGACCAGGCTGTCTGAGAGCCACTCCCTTCAGAGATGGCCCTCTACTTTTTACACTCTGCCTTGGGGTGGTGGTGAGGTAGGTGAGGTGAGGTGAGGTGAAGCTCTGTTGGGTTTGATTAGGCCCGACACAAGTGTTTTTGGCCTAGAGTGAGGATACCATAGACAACCTATCGGAATGCTCCATGAGGCCCCCAGCTGCCTTGGGGTGCCCGCAAAGAAGACATGTTGGTGCCTGGAACAAGGCTCTGTGAGTGTAGTCCTCTGGAGGAACACAGGTTACAACATGAAGTGGTGCTGCACACACAGCTCTTGTGTGCACACACACCTGAGATAATGCCCTCTGAGGGTGGGGGCACTAGGGAATGATAAACCAAACGTTAGTCCCTTCAAATCAATGGGCCACACGGTGTCACTGCACCCATCAGCTGAGTTGCTGCTGTGCATGAGTAACCCACACGGTGGGAGGTGTAGAACTTCCCTCCCGTATACAGGCTGAAATGGGATACTTCCATTTCCCAGGCTGAAATTTCCTGGGAAAATAGGCCTGCCTTGGGGAAAGAAAGGAAAGGTCCCTAGTTTGTGGCTCCTTTGGGGGTATTTATTTCTATTTCTGGCTTAAGGTATAAAGTTGGACTACTCAAAAGGAAATCAATCTGTAAATATTCTTTAGTACCTAAGCCCAAAGTCCCAAACCAAGATTTCTCCTGGGTAGTGAATAAAACACAGTTGGAAGATATTTATCTTTGAGGTTATGTACACTGATGATATTTTCCCAGATAAATGGGCAAGGAGTGTGGTGTTCTTCCTGAAGGCTCTGCATAGCTATTTTTGGACAGAATGTGACACAATAGCATTTTATTCCAAATTTGCTTCTTCATTATATCATATCTTCACATTCCACCAGGTTTCCAGGTCAAAAACCTGCAAGGCATTCTGCATCCATGCTACTCACAATCCTTTGGGATCAGTCAGTTACTCTGGTTCTTCCTGCCTTAGTAGCTTCTTCATCCTTTTGCCCTCTCTGTTCACACTGCAGGCACTCTTACCTTCCCTCTTAGAATATTGCAGCTGTGGTTGTACAGGTCTCCCAGCCTCACATCTGCTGTCACCTGCAGTCAATCGGTCAAGCCACGGCTACAGTGATTTTTTAAAAAACTAGTAGCTGAAAGGATCACTTCCGTGTTTAAAACGCTTTATTCATTTAGAAAAAGTTCAAACTCTTTAGAACACCAAGCCCTGTTTTAGCATCTGACGCCTACTCACCTCCCCCACAAATACCATTCAACCCATCTGGCCTCTTCCTGGCAGTGTCTCGCATGTCTGACCAGCACCAGAAAGCTCCAGGAAACCTTAGCTGACACTGTCCCCCGAGGGCTCTGACTTTGGCACCCTAAGTGTGGCTTCTCTAGCTCCCGTTGTAGGTCCCATCACTGATAGTACTTGTCACACTCCGTGGTAATTGTTTTCATTTCCCAAGCTATCAAGAAGGAACTGTGTATGAGTTAAATTGTATTCTCAGTTCTTAGCATGCTGCCTTAGACACTGCAAATGCCTCATACATTTCTAAAGGACTGAACAAAATTAATCTTGGGGACTGATGCTCTGGCATTCATTTTCCGTGATGCTCTCTACAATTCTATCCAAAAAATAATGTAAAATTCCTGAATTTCCCTTCCCTGTCCAACTTTGGATATGTGTTTCAGGCCCTTTTCCACACACAGGACGTTGGCTCTAAGATTCTGTCAGCCTTCCTATTGCAAGCCCTGATCCCAGGGAGCCTCTAATCCCAGAGAGCCTTGCAGCTCAATTTTACTCTTTTCTGGGTAATGTAAGTTGGTGAGCCTATGGGCTTATCTTCTCATATTGGTCCTAAACCTCCTGTTACAAGACTAGTTATATGTTATTGTCCATCTAGCATTTTCTCTTTTTCATCATGTCCTTGTTGTTGAGTTGAGGTATTGCTCAGTATATTCTCTCACATAGTCTCTATACATGCTTCACTCCTGCGTTAATTCACTCTAGGAAGTCTGCATATTCTAGGGATCTGGGTCCTACTTGGGGACTAGAGTCTCATGGCCACATGTGGAATAGGAAAAATGCAGGGACCGTCCCTGAGGCAGCTCTCAGCAGCATTGGGTAAATAAACTCCCCAAGACTCACTGCAGGACCAAATGCCCCTCCTCCCATAAGCTTTTTACTGCTTATATTTGTGAAAATTGGTGATATCCCTTATTCCTGTCATAAATGAATCAATGGTTTAATACTAACTTTATAATGAAACAATTTACATAAAAATGTAATTTTTCATCTTGTCCTAATTCAGAATTCTTATGGGTTTCCACTTTTATACCCATTAAACAGTTTTCATAATTATCCATTACAGAACTTTCAAACAAAGCTGTGGTTTCTTCATGGGTATTCTTTGCTTCATCTCAGTGTTATTAAAAGAAAGAAAAGATTTCACCTGGTTGTGGGATCAATAAGAAAAACAGCTGGTAATCAGAATCTTATTAAGATCCAGAAGTCCCTGAAATACAGTAAAAGAGATGCATAATACAAGCTAAGGGAATTTCCTTGGGTATGGAAAGAAGGAGGGTCCAGCCTTTCCCCTCATGAAAAGCATTCTTGGGGAGAGATTGCAAAATGTCAAACTAATGTTATAAGTTGACTGAGACTTTCAAAAATGTCAGGTAATAATCATCTCAACCCCAAATGGATTTTATTGCTGTTAGTGGATTCTCTCCTTTTCTGAATTCATGTCCAACTCTTCCCACTTGTTTTAGTTTTATACCCCTCTCTCTAGTGGTTGGCCTGGAGAGCGAGTAGCTCTTCCAACTCAATTTTGCAAAGGGCACCAGTGCCCAACTGCTCAGACAGTGAGCTTTTGTGGGTAGGTTGGTACTCACCTTTAGCTTTTAAGATCTGCCTTGCCATAGTTTTTAAGAAGTTTTAGATTGTGTCTACTTAATGAATACCTGCTTTGTTCCAAGCAGTGAGCTTGAGCTCTGTTTATGTGGGTAAGTTGATAGAAATTTATATAGTTAAGTAAATATCGATAGAATAGGGAATGTTATTGACTATTATGTAATTCATTGAGCAGAAAATGATAGTTACTTCACTCCAGTGAGAGACTTTTTATCACTTACCTACAGAATTTACCTCCAGTCTTCACTTTACTCAGCCTGTACACATACTTCTTTAGAGAATGCTGCATTACAAAAAGAGTATATCATGTATTTTTTCTCATACACTGAAGATTAACACGCCTCACTTGGGTTTAGTCTCCTATTTGGGTAGCAGGAGATAGATAACTTGTAGTAGTTTGGTATAATTGCATTAACTTTCTGTTCCTAAAGTCATTTATATACCATGCACTTATTTACCATCATAGAAACCCACAAAAAAAAGTGGCTCTGCTGTCAACAGTAGAACATGTACCCTTGGACTTGCTTAAGCAGCCTGGTACCCTTTCTAATTGTTAAATTGGCATTGTCAAATAAGGAACGCTCTCACGATGGCTCTTTCTCAGCTGTCTTTTCACTTTCCTTGTGATTTTATACCAAGCCAAACGATTCCTTCTTAATTTCTACAGATTTTTACATGAGTTAGCCCAGATCCCTAATTTTGCTGAACGTGCCCAGTGCATCATCTTCAGAGCTGTCTTTTCCGAGAGTATCACCTCCTTGCACCGAAAGGTGGAGATCATCACAAGAGCTTCTAAGGTATGTTTGCTGTCTGATTTAAAAAAGATGACTTTGCCCTTATTAGGGGTACAAGATAAAGAGGGAAGTGGGAGAGATCGACTGGAATCCCTTTGCCAAAACCTTGTATATTTTTTCTAAGTATAGCTCTGACAGTTATCCTGCCTAAGTGTGAGGATGCTTAGGGAGAGATTGGGTAAATAAACTCCCCAAGACTCACTGCAGAATACTGTGCATGCAGATGAGGTAGGGAGAGAGGGAAAGAGGGAGAGAGTGGGAAAAAACGGCATTTTTACAGATTTCTTCTCCAATATTCCAAATACCTTCCAATGCACATACTGGCTCTTTAAAACCAACCGACACAGTATAGTTCATTTTTCACTCAACTGTCTGGACTACAAAAGAGGTTTTGCCTTGGACCCATGAATTAGATCATCTGAAATGTGCTACATAGTGAAATAAAAAAGATACTAGAGATTTGACAAAGGAAATGATTATGATAATGAATGGTGAGCAAATCAATTTTTGTTGGCTTTACCACATGGTATTCATTATAAATCCTAGTGCTTAGCTTTTTCTCACAATGACCCACGTCCTTAAGAACATGATCCTCTCCACAAATGCTGTAGTATTTAGTTGCTTATCTGAAGGCATGTTTTTTTTCTTTCTCAAATATAAAAGATTTCAATAAGGAATGCATAAATATTACCAACGTATAATGTATGCCCTCTGCCAGCACCCTAAAAGTCAGGAACAGAAGTCAGCCTGGAGTGCATTTGGCTTCCTTTTCCCTAAAATAAAGGACTAATATTTGCTGTTGGATAAATATAGGTATATTTAGAGTTTAGCTGCGTGATAATTGGTGTTTCCATCACAGGGCTTGCTGCACATGAAGAGTGTAAAGGATATTTTAGCTCTCATTCTGGCTTTTGGGAATTATATGAATGGAGGAAATAGGACTCGGGGACAAGCAGATGGATACAGTTTAGAAATTCTGCCCAAACTCAAGGACGTCAAAAGTCGGGTATTTATTTGTTTCATAATGAATGTCTATGAACTGCCATTATTTTTCTTTTATACATTTCATTTTAAAAGAATAAGTATTTCTCAACTATTTATCTCTCTTTCCTCTAATAATACATTTTACCTTTTCATTCTTTTAACTTTTGAATGAAGATATGGTTTTTAAGTTTTATCTTATTTGGATGACAAAATTCCTAATATTAGTTTGCCCTAACATGCACAGTTAGGTGTTGAACTGCAGTGAAAGAATACAACAGACAGCATATGATAGAAGGCTTGAATTTAGTGTTGGCCGCTTGTCGCTTTCACATTCCTGCTAACGGAGCACTTGTTGAATCACCAATTGAGCTGAGCATTCGAGCTATTCTTTTGCCCACAACAATTGGGCTGGACATCTACTGTCAGACTCTCTGAACCTGATTATCATGTGGCTCCACACTCCTGCAGAGCCACCTCTTTAGAAACAACCAGCCCATACCTAGGCGTCCCATCGGGGGCCGCAGGAGTGGAGGGAGGGGAAATACACAGGCAAATTAGAATTAGACCCATGTGAACAAGACTCAAAGGCTGCCTTGTGGGAGGGCCTGCTCACTCCTGGCCTCCCAGGGTCATAAAGTGGCACTGCATTCCTTTTAAGCTGCCCTGATTGTTTTTCACACCATTAAGAACACACATCTTTTGAAAGGTGGGAAGGGAGGGATGGTTTTCTGTTCAAGTCCCCGCTTTCCTTTAGCATTCCCCTGCCCCCTCCTGTTTTGGCTTTGTACCAGAAAAGCCAAATATAGAGAGAGTGCTTTGTTTATTTTGTTTGTTTGTTTGTTCTGGCCATTACCTCAGAGGTCTTACGGATTTTTTTTTAACCACTCAAAAGACTGGTGAGTGTAGTGTCATTTCTTTGTATGGATGCCATAAAAAATGGGTGGAACAAGGAGGGAATCTTACCAGGCTCACAGAACCCGTACCCTGTAGCACAAATTAAAAGTACATATTTGGGTCAGAAACTGAGATTTGGGCTGTCAACTGTATAATATAGCAAACTCTCATGTGAATGATTTTCATTTAAGCTTCTCTTTTAAACCTAGGATAATGGGATTAATCTGGTGGACTATGTCGTGAAATATTACCTGCGTTACTATGATCAGGTAAGAAATGGCATTATGTGGAAAACTACACTAATGGGGTTTCAGCTGTTACACATTGTTGGCATTCAGCAATTGGATGATGGATGGATGGATGAATTTCAAGTCCAACATAGAATTTGAGAGCTATCCAGCCTCCTTGGTTTACAGATGGAAACACTGAAGCAAAGTAGTTTAGTTGACTCTTGTAAAGAGAAGCATTATTCGTGGTAGAAATCTACTGAGTCAATCCACTCCGTGACACAGCTTCAGAGAGACCCCAAGTCATATCAGTGCCTTGTGACCAGATTGTCAGGGCCTTTGCGAAATCTATATCCATCCAGTAATTGCTCATGTTTGAAACTAGATTCTGGGAGGCAGACCAACATTTAGGAAGTTAATATTCAGTAATACCCACTACATTATCAGTAATATTCATCTGTGAACAAGTTGAAGACATGGAATCTGAAATTCCTCCTCTTTGCTGAAATTACATTTGCAATTAGAAATAAAATTTTCTGTGATAACCCACCTGAGCTCAGTTTTCTCTGTTCTATTCCTTCACATTAAGTTGAGAACAAGGAGTCCTAACTCTGAGGAGAAAGAGGTACTGTTGCAAGTTGCTGACAAATTTAGCGATCACTGTGAATGGAAAAAAGGCTCAGGAAAATGTTGTCAGGGCTCCTGCTTAACTATCCATGTCAGCAAAGTTTTTCCTGGGTACTGAGGGAAGAAAAGTAAAGATTCCAGGGCCTCATTTCTTTAAAGGCCTACAATTTCATCCAGAAGATTAGCTAAGCTCTGATGAGGTTTCTAGTTATTTCTCTTGCCCTCCTGGTGGATTTATCTGACTATTCTCAATATATGTAAATACAGCAGGATTCTCCTCCCACCCCACCCCTCAACATCTTCCCTCTTTCTGTTAAGGACATTACAATTTTTGGTTATTTAGACACGAAGTTGTGCTTCTCTTTAGTTGATATCTGTCCTTCAGTTCAAACTGTTTCTCATGTTCTTCCCTGTCTGTGTATGTGCACGTGTGTTTTTAAGTCCCAACTGGCCCCTGCTCATTTGGCTCTAAGATAACTCACCTCAGGAATTTCAGTTGCTTCCCCGCTGGCATCCCCACCTCTAGTGACTCCCATTCTAGTCCATCCCATACCCTGTGGCCTGATTACATTTTATAGTTCTGATCATTTCACCTCACATTTTTACTCAACAACTGAATAGCTCCCCTTTTTCAAGTGAATTGAGATTCTATCCAATTTATTTCCAGTCTTTTACAACTGGACTTTTATTACTTTCCCTCTACACACATTCTGTGATTCAACTGAAGACTCAATGTTTTCCAAACACACCCTCTGCTTTCTTACTGATGTGTTTTTATCTGATGTTCTCTCTAATTGGAACTGTCCTCGTCACTAGCCTTTTAATAAAACTTCTCTATTTTTCTTATAAATTCTCTCTTAAAATAATAAAGTATGTTTGGGGAAAAAGCATCTGATATATATATATATATATATATATATATATATATATATATATATATATATTCACACACGCACACATATATATATATATGCAGAATCAACAAGAAAAAGTCAACTTGTCCCTTCTCATTAAAAAAAAAGTGGCAAAGAGACTGCCAGTATCTGCACAAAACAAATAGAATATATGAATTGCCAACCAGATACATGCAATAGAGTTAGCAATATATATTGCTCAAACCTTTCTCAGGCCTGTCATGTATGGTTGACTGAGTTCTGTGTTTAGGATCTCTAGGTCACATAGGACCTTTAACTTGTCTGTCCTGTATTCATCAAACTATTTGTCCTGTGAAGGGCACCTTGAAAAAAAATTGAAATGTCAGGTGCTTGTCAAGCTGTTTGCCAGCGGAGCTGGGCCGACGTGCAGGGACGGCTTTTTCTCATTCATGCAAATGTCCTGCCGTTTGGGCCAGCAAGGCTTTGACTTTTCAGTATCTAAAGCCTTAGAAATATGCATAATATTTCTAGGGATGTTTATCCTAAAGAAAAAATAAGGGCATGTATCACTATTTTATTTAAAATAATTTATAATAGCAAAATATTGCAGAATTTTTGATGTCCAATTTATTTGACCTTAGAAACTAAGGTCAAATAAATTATGCTAGAGTCATAAAAGGGAATAATAGACTGCCATGGAAAGTGTATAGGAGAATGTTTGTGGAATTGGGAAGTGTTCCTGATCTGCTTTTAAAATTACAAATGTGTTTAAAATAGTATATGGGATAATCTCAAATATGTAAACATAAATACACAGAAACACCTGGGAGGATGTGTATTAAAATATTTGATTCTTTCCAGGTAGCAGGATTGTAAGGGATTTTTACTTCCTCCTTTCCTTTTATTGCTAAACACGATGAACACCAGTTACTTTTATAAAAGGAAAAATCAGATAAAATAAAAAATAGTGCAATCTTACATGACCCTTCTTCCATGAAGGCTTTGCTCAGTTCCTCACCTTTTACTCCTTTGAAGCCTGGGAACACTTCATGTGAATGACTCTTTCAAAATCTGTTTTCTGCCTCATCCATCAATATCGGTGAGCAATTACCCATCATCCTGGCATTGCTCCCTGAGATCCAGAACTCATTGTTGTCTCTTTTATAGTGTCTGTAATGTAGGTGCCTGATAAATACTTGCTGAGTTGCATATACTGCAAATATCAACAAGATTGTAATAAAAGGCATCTGGGATGAAGTAGGTACGAGGAGGCGAAAGCTGCATTCTGATAAAGTGGGCAGGTGTGTTCGTCTTCAGTCATTATGTGCGTATCCCAAGTTCTGGCAGCAGTATCAGTGTGGCAGGAGCATTTTGAGATGTAGCATTTCTAATCCAAGGTTGACATAAGTAAATTTACTTCATGACGTTGGCTCCAACCAAGTCAGATGCGTCATCTAGAAAGGACGAACTTTGCCTATGATGTACGACTCATTGAAGAGAGCCGAACCCAGTGGAATCAGCTTCGCAGAAGGAAATCTGAGAACAGTTTCAAACTCAGGATGGCACAGTTTCGGAAAATAATAAGTCAGCGTCTGTGTGGTCCTCTCCTAGTTTTCGCTGTGCGAAATGCATTTCACTCAACAAGAGAGTAGAATTATGTGATTTATTAAACTACCCTCCCCCTCTAGGAGCATTAAGTGATGATTTGTGTGGTTAGTGGTGATGAGCAATTAAGTGAAGAAAGGTGACTTCTGTTCCAGGCTCTCTCCCACTCACGCCAGGTTTTGGGTCCAAGTCTAGGTCTGTGAAGTTGAAAGAAACCCATGAGGAGCCATGTCTTTTCAACCCTAATTGAGCAATTTTCACAAGAGCTACTACTACCAGACTGATTTGCTCAGCACCATTTTCTTTTTTCTTTTTTCTAGATTAACAAAAAAAGGAAGCCAGACTGAGTCTGATAAAAAAAAAAAAAAAAACTTTTGGAAAATAGAAAGAGATATTATTTACGAGTTCTTCCAGGGTAGATTGCCATGGAGTTTCATGGCAAACATTATAGATGTCGTTCCATCTAGCTCTCAGACCAGATACTGCTTCCATGGTTTTTAACATAGTAAAATAAATATAGGAAGATGAAAACAAGTGTATTGATCATGTAAAATCCTGATCAAATGAGGAGAACCACCACCTTCTAGCATTCCAAGTAAAGCTAAAGGTCTTAAAGGAAAGGGAAGGGTCCAGGGAATCCCTGAAACCACAAGAAACTATGAAGATAAGTTGCATGTCTCCTGCTAAAGGTACAGTTTTCCAAGAACAGTGTTTTCAAGCATCCTGGTGATGTTTCCAAAGTTTATTGGCATGCCAGAGGTTATGTTCCATACTGAGACTAAGAATTCCAGCCTTCCTGTTTGGTGGGGAAGACATAAAAGTGAACACAGCAATTTGTAAATTAATACTGATAAGTGCTGTAGTAGTGGTGAGTAGGAGGGGCTCTTGGAAACACCCAAGAGTTAGTTGCTGGGACTTGAGGGAAATCTTTGGGGGAGTGACAACTGTTTTGAGACTTGAAGGATGAGTATGGACACGGAGATGTGAGGACATTCTGGGGAAGAATGGAAAAGGGACAGTTTCAGGTAAAAGTTTTACAAAAGCCTAGAGTCAAGAGACTGTGGCCTGTCCTTTTATTTCATGAAAGTTTGGGGAGGGGAGTTAGAGATGGGAGAAAGGAAGAAATAAGGCTGGAGATGTAGACAGAGGCCTCATAAAGTGCCTTGTAAAGCAGTTTCAGCATTTGGAACTCGTCCTAATGGCAGTAGGAAAGATGGAATGTGAAGGAAAGCTGGCAGAGTTGCCTCTGTGAAGAGACCTGAAGACTGTCTGAGATATGCAAGATACGGAGCTTACATTAAACAACTCAGGAAAAATCACGTTAGGCTGGAAAAGAAATCGGAGGCTCGGCTTATCTCTCAATGTGCCTGATAGAGGTTTTGCACCACAAGATGTTTCTCAGGTCAGGTACTCCATGAGGTATAGTTGTGGGGCTTGTCAAAAACTGTACTCAGTTGTGCCCCTGGTAAATATCTGGTGAGATTAGCCAAACAAAATTTTTACAAATATGTGAAGAATTCTCTCTCTTTCTCATATATACAGACACACACACACACACACACACACACACACACACACACACTTTAAGTTTCGGAGAAAGGTCAGTAAAGGCATAGAGAGGGTGATTGTTCCTTCCATTGTAGCGCCATCGTATCCAGCACCTTCCAATTCACACCCATTGACATACCCCAAACATGAGTTATCTAATTGTTACCATGTGCAATTCAAACCAGGACTTTCGATTTAAGTGCTTTCATGTGTTCCTCCTAAGCCTTTTTCCATGGACGTAGGGTGTCCAAGATCAGGACATACCTGACAATTTTCTCTTTGATTCATGAGGCAAAATAGAACCTAGCCCATGCCACAGCCAATCTAAATGCCAGTAAGACCAAAATGATATTGTGAAAGACACGAAAGCACTTCAAAGTCACCAGTCCAAACTGAAGAATAGCAGAGGCGCATTGGTACGATTTTTATTCAGACATTCAGTAAAAGATGCTTTGGAATTTCACCCGAAAGTGACAACTGGGGGTGTAAAGTACTTTCCTTTACTGTGTCTTTTAGGAAGCAGGAACAGAAAAGAGTGTCTTCCCCCTGCCTGAACCACAAGATTTTTTTCTGGCTTCCCAAGTCAAGTTTGAAGACCTCATAAAAGACCTGAGAAAACTGAAGAAGCAACTAGAAGGTAACAGGAACTGTGCCATTATTACGATGATAGCTAGGATCTTTTTAAAAAATGATTTAAGAGAATTATTTATTGTGTGGCTTATGGAATGGAGCCAGCGCAGCATTCCGTTTCGGTGGTCTGCAGCCCTCCGGACACTTCCCGTCTCCGCACACTTCTTAGGGGCACGTCGTTGCCATCGCCCTCTCTTACTAGTGTTAATTAGTACTCATTATACCTACACCTTGTTTCATCTACCTTTACCAACATGCACTAGACACAATTTTAATGATACTCATAGCACCAGCCCTTTACTGAATGCTTACTGTCATCTCATATAATCCTTATAACAACCCTAATAAGCAGGAACTATACTAACTCTCTTTTACAGATAAGAAAAAAGAGGCTTGGATAAATTACGTTCACACAGCCAATGAGAAGCAGATTTACTGAGCACGAATCACATCTGTGGGATTAGAACTGATGCATTTTCGAAACAAGTTTACTATGCCGTCTCTCTCCCCGCCCCCATCCCTCCTCCCTCTCTCCCCCACTGTCTCTCCCTCTCTCTCTCACACACACACGCTCACACACATGTTCCTATAAATTTGGTTTACATATATATATATGAGCCCAATAATGATGGCAAGACCACAGTAAACATTCTATTTGAGTTTAATTTACATTTTTAATTATTCAAAACAAAATGCTGAAAGCCCCTTTTGGCTTTTTTTAAAAGGTGAAAATATGTCTCTCTTGGGCAGGAATTTTCCTTTGGCATTTCTAGAGCCTTGTGTTTTCACTGTGGAGACATCTCCGTGTCCAAGAATATAAATACTTGCGCTGGAGCTTGTGTAACTCCAATGGAAGAGCTGTGCGGAGGATTTAGGGAGCGCGTTAATGTGGAAAGGGAGCCCCGAGTGCCAAAAGGAGAGCTTGGGGAAATGAAGAGCTTGAACCAGGAATATTTTTACACTAAGACATAAAATAAACATTTAAAAAATGTTTATTGTGAAAGGGTGCTCAGAAACCTAAGTCTTAGACAGAGAACAGCTTGGAAATGGAAGGCAAGTGGGAAAGATCTGCTCCTAGTGGCAGAGAAAGCCATTTGTTTTTACTTTGGGCATAAAACTTGCTTAAATAAGGATAGTGGTTACAAGTGAATAGTTTTACCTTGTAAATTATTTTTAAAGGAACATGTGGATTTTTTTCCTCTCTCGTTGATGTGGTTGAGAGCGCGAATTCAACCAAATGAGTGCTTTGTTCAGGAATGTGATACGTGAACTTGTGGTTATTCTTTTCCCTTCCCTTAAAAAAAGAAGACAGTTTTGTCCTTGTCTAAGATGAGGAGCTTGATTCTTATTGGAATAAAGCAGAGGAAGCCATCACATAGCAGTTTGTTTCTGTCCATTGCCAGTGGCGGAATCAGCGTGCAGGCCAGTCCTGGGAGTGGCTGCCAGGGACCAGCAGCAGGGAGGACCTGTGCTTGCGTGTGCGCTCCATGGCCACCCCGAATGCCGGGCCCTCATCTCAGGGCCCCGTGTAACACCCTGGGCCTGCCTGTCAGCTGGTGTTTCGAACAGAAACCTGATCTGTGTGTGATCTTTCCTCCTCTCTTGCCTTCCTTCCAGGGACTGCCCCTTTCAGGCATCCTGGCTCAGCCACCGTCCTGGGACGCTCCTGTGTGTTTGATGATAAATCACAAAGGGATGAAAAGAGTGAATTAGGAAGACAGTGGACAGGCAGGGGTTCCCCCGCAGCTCCCCACTTTTGGTATACGTTACTTTCTCTAGCGAGATCCTAGCTGTCATTCCAGATCGCTCAGTACTCAATTCACACTTTCCTCAATTTTAAGGAAATACCAAAGTTCTGAAGTTGGAGGAGCTGCCTTAGGAAGGAAAACTGAGCATCGCCTCAGTGATTTAACCAAAGGACCTGAAGCACCGTAAGGGCTCCCCATGCACTTTGAATATTTAAACAAAAATGCCCTGCTAATCTTTAGGGATGCCAGTGTTTTCCACACATGAAAGGTACCTAGTAAATATTTAAAGAAAATACAGACTGTCGGTTCTCTAATGAATTTCTTTTTCTTCACAATGCCATCTGGCAAGATGGCCAGAGTCCTGGCGGTCCGTTTCATCTCATGTTCTCATTCAGGTTTCACCTCCGTCTCCAGAATGCCTTGGTGTGAGCCTCGATTGGATGTTTAATTGAAGAGGACATAATTTTCACACATACAGCAAAGATTTGATGAGGCTTTGAGGTTTATTGTAGCCATTAAAATGTCGTGGCTGCTGGCAAAACCCCAGAAAATGTCTAAAGCTAAACCAGATGTGATTAGCAAATTTCAAGTTGTCTCGGGTCCCAGTTCTCCCGGCAACAGCCACGGCCCTTTAGAAGAAATTTGTGTGGAGTAGCACGAACCACACCTTAACAATAGGGTGTAGATTAACTATGACCGTTGGTTCTACAACTGTCACTGATATGTCGACGTTGTCAATAGGCATCTTTCACAAAGACAAGAACTTTGAATAGCTCTTTTATGTAGGTAAAACAGCAAGGAATAGATGGTATCAACTACAATTTGTTACATGTATATAATAACAATACATTATTATTATCTATCAGGTACTTTACATATATCACTTATTTTAATCCTTGCAAATGCCCCCGTGAAGTAGATGTCATTGCTGATCTCTCACAGGAAGAGGAAACGGAAGTTCACTGTGCTTACATAACTTGCTGAGTCACTTCACAGGCAATGCTGACCTAGCCATGTTTTAAACTCAGTATGACTCTAAGCCATGTACTCGTGACATTCTGCCAGTGGCCCAGAAGTTTCCGTGTCTTATCAGAGATCAAAACAGAAAAAGCTATATCATCAAGGCATAAAGCCTCATAAAGATACAAAGGACAGAGAGAGAGTCACTGGAGTCACTGAATGTGTGCATGAGTGCAGGTGTGCACCTACACACACCCCTAAAACCATATCTGTGCACCCTTGGGTTGGGGAGAGATACAGGGGAGACATACAGGAGAGATCAGTTACAAAAGTGAATAGACACAGTATTGCATAAGATTAAGACCTCAGGTTATGGAATCAGTTACGTATTTTTTACTGGTTTGGCGAAAGCAAGATCTTGCCAAGTAAGATAACCATAGACTATATTCATTTTCTCACCTATAAAATGGGACAATTATAGTACCTGTGTCATAGAAGGTAATGAGTGCATAGTCCCTTAGTAAGAAAAGCTTTGACAAAACTTTGCAGTTGTATGTATGTACCTCCTACTGGAAAATGCACAGCTTCTAGGGTCAGGCCCATGTTCTTGAGAAGCCAGCTGGCTGTGTTTGTGGAAAATCTACTTCCCAGAGTGCTTGCATGCTCTTCTCCACAATGCGGACACAGCCCCAGTTTCTTGGTGCTTGGGAACATGTTTCATATTGTGTTTACTGTTCTACATCCCTTAACGAGACAATAGTTTTTATTTCCCTGGTAGTGTGATGTTATAAGTAATAGCTGGGGAAAAATCAAGCAAACCGTAGGAACAGTTGCTCTCTTTCTTGTTGAACTTGCTGGCCAAAATTCCGAAGGTATTCTTACCAACGCATGTGTGGTAGGCACAATACTATTGCAGGAGCTCCTGAAGATGTCCAAACCCTAATTCCTGGGATCTGCGACGATGTTACCTTACATGGCAAAAAGGGACGTTGCCGACACCGAGATGGGGAGATTAGCCTGAACTATTCAAGTGTACCTAATCTAATCACACGAATCTTTAGCATGAATCTTTAAAAGTTGAGCACTTTCCTTGTCTGTGGTCAGCCGGAGATAATACAGCAGAATGACCAGAGGGATGCAGTGTTGCTGGCTTTGAAGAGGGGGAGTGGGCAGTGAAACAAGGAACACAGGAAGCCCCTAAAACTGGGAAAGGCAAGGAACAGAGTCTCCCTGGAGCCTCCAGAGGGCACGCAGCCCCATCGACACATTGAGTTCAGCCTAGTGAGACCCCTGTCAGACTCTAACATTCGAGGACTATAGGTAATATATGTGTGTTGTCTGAAGACATGTAAGTCTGTAGAAATGTGTTATAGTCACAATAGGAAACAAACACACCCACCATGTGTGTGTCTGATTGTGCCAGTCAATACAAGTCACACATCCCACACTGCCCCGCCCCACACCATTGCCAAGGGCATAGATGTAGGGTTTCCCCAGCACTAGAAGTCACCAGTGTCACATGAAATGTGAATTAGTGCTTTCTTTAAAAAAAAAAAAAACAAGGCCTCTAGTCCAGTAAACTTGGAAATGCTCCATCCTAAAATCTTATCATAGAGATTCACAGCACACGAGTTTATTAACAAGTCTGGAAAGTTGTACAATAAAACAACCCACAATGACTTAACCTTGTTTAAAACAGTGTTTCTCGACTTAAAATATGAAACAGTAGGTTTTTCTTTTTTTCTTTCACTGAATACTTAGTAATATAAGGCAGAACATGCATTCCGTGAAACCGTTTCAGAGGTGATGTTGATTTTCCTATCCAGTCTTTGATATAAAGACATAGCTGCTGCCACATTGGCTCCACTGGACAACCAGAGGAGAGGCTGTGATGAACAGCCATGGCCTTTGCCCTCCCGGGCTGCTCTTGGTGCTCCCTGGCTCCGCTGTCCTCACTCGGTCTGTTATCCATGTAAACAGACAGAGTGGGTCACATCCTCTCTGGTGTCCTGACGCCTGAAAGCCAAAAGGAATAGCATTAGTGTGACTCAGAATTACTCTGGTGTCGCCACCCCCAATCCACATTTGTTTGCCATCATCCTGTATGAGTATTTTATTATGAAAACTTCATTCTGGCTAAGAAAGGGTACTTTTTTTGTTGGAAGATGAGACAGGAACTCTTCAGATAGGTGTTGAAAAGTCAGCGTATTTTGAGAAATTTAAGAAAAAAACATAAGTTTTTCTTATTAGCACAAGTTACTTAGTGTCCCTGGTCATTAAGAATGGGCTATTTAATCAG